CTGATTATTCTTTGTGTATCAACAGATATGCTAAGCTTAGTACAAATGCCAGTGTAATTCAGAATACTTGGAGCAAATGCAAACTGAGAAAACAATAAACTTCAAGAAGCAAAACAAAGATGAAAAGAGAGAAAGCCTAGGAGCTCTCAAGTAAAGGAGTCTCAACCTCTGACCATGGGTAGCATGCTGCAGGTTTTACTGAGCTTGGTTTTGGAAGAGGAACAAAAGAGGTCAGCCCCTTATCAGAACTTTAGGAACAGCAGTATTCAGGTGTCCTAAGCTAATTCTTTGCCTAGTTAGTTTTCCACTATGTCCTAGTTAGTTTTCCAAATGTCAGTTGTTGGTTGCAGGGGAAATCACTCTTATCAGAAGCAATATGGGAAAGGCAACTCCTCATCATCACAGCATCTCCACAGTTCTATATACACTTTTACAACATTCACAACCTTACAAAACACAGATATTCGGAATAAGCCTGCTTGCTTACCTTTAGTCTGGTTTGAATCGCCATCACACAGTGCAGCTGCCCCATCACAGAAGGCGAAGTTCACAGATCATGGAAGTGCAGCTTTCTTGGCTCACTGGACTGCAGCAGCTCCTCTCCCCCTACAAAAGCCTAAACCAGACTTCCCTTTCCCTGCTCCCTTTTATAGCCCTCTGCAGGCCCACCACCCTCCCAGGTGTGAGACTGCCCTGGTGAGTGCTGGTTTGTTAACCCTTCCATGACCAGGAAGGAGCCTGTCCTGCCATAAGGCAGCTCTACTAGAAAACCAGGGCTTTTAAAGAATTCATCAACCAATCTGGGGGGTTTGAGAGGTAATTTGATGGGGCCCTTGTGGAAACTGCCCCAAGTGTTATTGAATCAGCAAATGTGCAGCTCAGATGGGGTGCACTGTGCTGGCCTTGCTTTCTGTGTCTTTCTGAGTTCTTGACATGTCCAAGAGCATTCATGTGCTCAGTGTTTGTACCTCTCCAAGATGTGGATTTTCACCAACATCCTTTGCTGTTGATTCCTGTAAGTAGAGCTCCAGCAGTGGTATGTGGAGTGGAAAAGTGAATCAATCTGGGCGGTCCCCTTAATGGGTGATCTGTTGATCTTGTAATTTGTGCAAAGGAATTTCTCCAAGGAAACTGTTTGCTTTCTTCCCAAACACTTTGTTACCTAACTCATAGTGGAACAAAACTCTGTCTCTCCAGCTCATCTCAAAGTTGTTTCAACTTGCAGTCCAGTCCCCACATCCTCTGTGTGTTGAGCAGTCCTGGAAAGCTCCACCCTCCCATCCAGTTAATAACCAGTTAGCCCAGGCTCTGATTTTCCCAGTCTCTGCTCTGCCTGCCTGGAAACACTTCCTTTCCCCTTGGCCCCTGGCCTTGCTGGCAGTGACTGCTGTGTGTGGAGCCCTTGTGCTCAGCCTCGTGGTGCCAGGCAGCCTCTTTGCTCTCTGAGCAGCACAGAAAATGAGTGTGGGGACAGTCCTGTTCCAGTCCAGCAGCTATGGCAAGGAGGGCAGACTGCTCTGCTGCCTCAGCGAGGGCACCTCTGAACCCAGTGTGAGCTTCACAGGTAGGATGCTCGGGGTGGGATCCTGTCCTGTCCCTTTCCTGTGTTTTTCCAAGTGCTTCAAGGAGGATGAGGTCCTTTCAAGTTTGTCTTTGTCTTGTAGTACTAAGCCAGCCACAGGCAGGTGTGAGATTGCCAGCTTTTTTTGGGATTTTAGGATTAGTGAAATGCTTCTTTTCTATGAGCAGTTATATAGCATTTCAGAAATAGAGACCACTTCAGCACCTAATGTGACTCTGAAATTTAAAATTTAGCATATTCTGCCTCCTGCTCTGAGACCAAAGAGATTGGTAATGATAGTGTTTGAGACCAAAGAGATTGGTACTTGGGGTGTTTGCAGCAAAGGTGGGGGACAAAGCACCCCTGACATGGTGGCTGGATAGGAAAGCTTTCATATCCGGAGAGAAGCAAATTGTATTATGGGAATAAAGGAAAGGAAGGAGATGGATGAAGCATGACCTCCTTGTGTGACTGTGTATTACTTGTTCACTAGGTGATGATGTAAGTTTTCCATTGCATAGGAAATGAAGGTGATAATATAAGATTTATGGTCAGCCTTGAAAAGGAGCTGATATAAAATGGAATTTCCCAGCTCATTTCCTGACTTTTGGTGCGGACTGAGCTCACAAACTGTTCAGCTGGAGGGGCACCATTGGTGGCATGCTTTGGTTATCTCTGTGGTGATCATATTTCTATCTGTGATGGATGGTGTAGATACCACACTGTATGGAACAGCGTGGGCTGGTATGGAATTATAACCTGCAAGAAATACTTTTGTATCCTGGTAAAAACCCCTGTAGGTGTTGGGTAACCTTTCCAGTTATTTAAGCATACAGGTCACTCTAACAAGTAAAGGAAGTTAGTGAGACGTGAACTCTTAAAAGCATTTGATTTTTAGGTAATGAGATTTTTAGGTAAGCACTGTAGCTAAGTGATTGAAGCTTCTCATCAAACATTACCTTCTGCTGGCTTTTTTGTTCATCAAATGGGTGTTAAGAACTTGTGCCAGCCTCCCAGGCATTCCCAAGAAAGGGCTAAGAGTCCCACATCTGCTTTGATTCCCCACTGCCAGTCCAGCACAGCCCCACACGTTTCCATGTGGGCAGAGCTCTGGTGCTGAGCAGGTGACATTTCTGCTGGCTTCACCTTGCAGTGGGCTCAGCTGGGCACAGGGCTTGCTGCAGCACCTCTGGAGCTGGGCTGGCCCTGGGGTGCTCCAGGCTATCCATGGCTGCATGGATGAACACTTAACTTTGGGCTTGGCTGCTCAATGTGTGAGCTTTTCTGGCTGGAGAAGGAAACTTAAAGGATGCTTTGACTTAGAATAAATGCTATATTTTTGTTTAAAGCTTTTCACTGGTTGGCAGATATGTAATTTAAAGTAAGAAGGTAATTAACATCGTTATTTTGGAGCTGAAAGGTTGGGTATTTTTTGGAAAATGCCTACTTTTGTGTTTGCTCTCTAGCAGAGATGTATAAGTCAGGGTTCTCATACAGCACATTTGACTTTGCTTCAAGCATTGAAACACTCATAACACAAGTCACTGTAGGAGCATAAAGAATGTATTATTTAATTAAATAGTATTTTTACTCCATAAAGAGAGCTGGATTTAGGAACTGCTGTTCTTTCATGGAGCTGAATATACACACATCCAGTCCCAAGAAAATACAGTGGGATGTTGGCAGCCATGCTGTAATGTAGGTGGCTGAGCATTGGGATTTCTTATTTTCCTTGATAGCTTCCAGCCTGATGGGTTAACATCTTGTAAAGCTAATTGCAGTTGAAAGTTAGGAATAAGAAGTGTGTGTGAATATTGCATCTGCAGGCAGTGCAATCAAGGAACTGACATTTTGGTGCCTTAGTCTGTAGGTTCTTCTTTTTGTGCTAGGAGAACCTTGACAGGAGGCTACTTTTAGGTTATTAAGGAATTGCAAGATGAGCAGGTTATGCAAGAAATAGAACTCTGAATAATTACCAGAAATGCAGTCAAAAGCTATTTGGCAAAGTTGAAAATGGAAACAGAGCAAACCTCAACCGCTTACTTTCTCATATACCTACAGTACAGTTAAAAAATTACATTATAGGCTGGAACCCCCCCATAGTCCTCATTTTCCAGGCTTGAGCTCTGGCCTGTGACACAGATTAGGCACATTACTGTGCCTGATACATGGCACAGGCTTCTTCCTGTTTTGTGTCTCACTGACTTCCCAGTTTTCCTATCCTGTGCTGCATTTGAGCTCTTTGTTTCTTTTTGAAGTGCCTTACAGAGCAGCTTTTGCTCATGAGTGTAAATCTCAGGGGCCTGTGGAGAAGGGGACAGGTGTAGCCATACACACATTCTCTGGCAGTGTCTGCTTAAAAACTTCCCAAGCCTGAATTCTCAGCCATCAGAAATGGGCCAAACCAATGACTGTAAAGCAAAGAAAGCCTCTGATTTTTTTAGAGAGAACTTTTTATGTTTAGTGCATTTAGTAAAATCTCTTTGCAGTATGCATTTCTCTAAGTAAGTTCAACTAGAGAATTCAGAAATAGATATTGGGACAGGGACTTAGATCTTTGCTGTCAGAGAAAAAGTATATAACTTTAATAAGTATTTAACTTTACACCTCCGTATGTTGTTGTTCCCTTGAGCAGCCCTTGTGTATGAAACCACACCATCACTTTCTTTTCTTAATATTGACATTTACTCTAGTACATGTTCCTGGAAAACCTCTCCATGAGTTGGAAAGCCAGTGATGGTCTTGACATAGCATTAGCATGAAGTGTTCACAGTTTTGCTTCTTACTACAGTTCTTCCTAAACCCCTGTGGATTTGGATTAGTTTTAATCATCACAAGAACTGTAGGGACTTTTTTCTTTTGTTGCTAAAACATGTCTGATTCCTCCCCCCACTCCCTTGTAGTGACAAGTTTGCATCAGTTGTCCATTGAAACAGTGAAACAGAAATGCTGCTGCTAAATACCCAGCATCACCTGTACTGCCTTCTGTCCCTGCTCCTGTCAGTTTTCCACTTCTGTTTGCACAGTCTTGAAATGTATTACAAATCACTGTCATTCCTGTTAATACTGAACCAGTTACTATCCCAGCTTACACATCTCATTTGTGCCATAATTCACTCTTACTTGTATTTGTAATGCTGGTTTCAGATCCAGGCTGTGTCCACCACAGAAACAATAACATTTTGTGATTGAAAGGTTTTCTTCACTACTTCATGTAATTTTAAAAAGTGCTTTTAGTTGTGCACCTACAGGTGTAGATATATAACAAATATTAAATAGAAATTTTATATACATAGCTTGTTATTTGGCTTATAGCAGTTAAACCACCTTCTCCAGGAGTTGGACTGGATGATCCTTGTGGCCACCTTCCAGCTCAGGAAGGGAAATGATTAGAGCTGTACACAAAGTGATTCCCTACCCTGTCCTTTCCTTTCCCCAGAGGCCCTGCACCGCCCCTACGGCTGCGACGTCGAGCCCCAGGCACTGAACGAAGCCATCAGGTGGAGCTCCAAGGAGAACCTGCTTGGAGCCACTGAGAGCGACCCCAATCTCTTTGTTGCACTTTACGATTTTGTAGCAAGTGGTGACAACACACTCAGCATCACCAAAGGTAACAGTGGGAGTGCAGAGCACCTGTGGGCTTGAAAACTTAGCTACAGAGATCAGGAAATGGAATCCCTGCCTGGACAGGAATGGGAGTACTGCACTTAGAGAATGGGAATAGTGCACTTAGAGAAGGTGGTTCCCTACAGCAGTGGTGGGAAGCAGACAGCCCGTCCCTCATGGTGCCAGAGGGACACCTGCTGGGCAGTTCTGCTGGGACAGGCAGAATCCAGTCCTCTCCTGTGCCAGCTCCCCACATCACTGGCCCTGTGAGGTACCTGCTGTAGGAAGGGCAGAGGGAAATGGGTACATCATAGATGGTAACAGAACTCGGCAATTTCAGCTGGGGGCAGAATCAAGAATTGAGCTTGCGCAGACACTTTCTGATTCTGGTGAGTACATATGTCAGAACTGTTAAATCATATGGCATTTAAAGCTTCAAGAAAACAAACCTCAGCCCTCCAAGAAAATAAAGTCTTCCTATTCTAATAAGCTGGATACGAGAAGCTTTCTGAGTTCATCTACTGCACTAAATCAGTGAACAGTATCCTAGGTATTCTGTCTGAGCCTTTGCTTCATAAATGCCTTTATGTAGCAGTTTATTTAGAAGATGATTTCTTTTGTTAAGCTACAAACCCAGGCTCAACTTGTGCTGAGTTTCTCCCTCAAGAAGACCCAGGAGCTTGCACTGTGCTTATTTCGGTTTTTCCTTTCTGGTCTCAGGTGAGAAGTTGCGAGTCCTGGGTTACAACCAGAATGGTGAATGGAGTGAGGTACGTTCAAAGAACGGGCAGGGCTGGGTTCCAAGCAACTACATCACACCAGTGAACAGCCTGGAGAAGCACTCGTGGTACCACGGGCCCGTGTCCCGCAGCGCCGCCGAGTACCTGCTCAGCAGCCTCATCAATGGCAGCTTCCTGGTGCGGGAGAGCGAGAGCAGCCCGGGCCAGCTGTCCATCTCGCTCAGGTACGAGGGACGTGTGTACCACTACAGGATCAACACCACCTCAGATGGCAAGGTGAGCACCTCTGGCAGTGCTGTGGGGAGAGGAGATGGAGATAGCATCTTGCAGAATCTCAAGTTGGAGATCCAGGATTAATATAAAAGAACACGTGTGCCAAGGGTTTGGTCGTGACTCCCCAAAAAGCACTTTGGAAGAAGTGCAGACAGTTCTTGTCGGGGCTGAAAGTAGCTGGGTAGCAAGGCAGCTGTGGTTGGAGGTGGGGATAGCCTCCCACTGATCCCTTTAGAAGCAGCAAAGCTTTGGTAAATGTCCTGATTTAGGGCAAATTTGGGAGAAAACCTCCAAAGGGTGCCCCTCCAGAAAGCAAACCCACATGGCCCCTCCCTGCAACCGGTTTGGGAAGGATTCCTCAGAGAGAAGGGGAAAGAAAGAACCTGTTTATTTAACAGGCAAAGCACCCCCCAGCACACAAAATGAACAATACCAGGTGACAAAACTCTTTCACTGCTCTGAAAAAGATGGTCGCTCTGTTATCAGTCCCTCTGGGCAGCTGCTGCAGCCACAAGGTGCAAACTCTCGGTGTTCCCAGGTCCCAGTCTGGAGCAGGTTTGAGTAGGTCCAAAAAAAGGAAAGGAGAAACAGTCCAGGAAAAATCTGGACTGTTTAGCTAAACTGTTTAGCTAACTAATGAGCAGGAAGAAAAAGCAAGAGCAAAGCAGGAGCAAGAGCAAAGCAAAAAGCCAAGCAAAAAGCAAAAGCAGCATCATGTACTGCCCTGTCTGTGTGTCCTGCCAGCCATGGGGGAGTGGCTGATAGCAAAACCAAAACAAAACTTTCACTCTTCAGAGCCAGTCTTGAAGGCACAGCATAAACAGAACACATGAATGGGGATACAAGCATCATAACATCACCCTAGGACAGTAAGTCAGGATTTTTAACCAAGATGAAGTAGTGGCATGTTGTGTTGAGAGACCTAAGAATTCCAGCTTCTAGTCCTGTAAAGCATGAGGCAGGAGACATTTTGTCACAAGAACTGACACAGCTCTTAAGTGATGGCTTACATGTAGTTGCCTTCTGCAGGTAAAAATCCCATAGATTAATAGTTATTTGCCCAACAGGAAGAGAACAAATATTTTAAAGTCCTGGTTTTCTGATTAAGAAAAAAATTAGAATGTTTGTACCTGTTTTCCAACGTTACTGAAAACTTGCAGCTGCCTTCATTTAAGCAGGTTCCTGTTTCTTGCTTTGCAGGTCTATGTGACAGCAGAAAGCCGTTTCAGCACGCTGGCAGAGCTGGTGCACCATCACTCCACGGTGGCAGATGGCCTGGTGACAACCCTGCATTACCCAGCCCCCAAGTGCAATAAGCCCACGGTGTACGGGGTGTCCCCCATCCATGACAAGTGGGAGATGGAGCGCACCGACATCACCATGAAGCACAAGCTCGGGGGAGGGCAGTATGGAGAGGTCTACGTGGGGGTCTGGAAGAAATACAATCTCACAGTGGCTGTGAAAACGTTAAAGGTGAGTTCTCACATTCTGGGCACTGTTCATTTGGTCACTGTTTATGACATGAGTAAGGAAATTGGAATGTTCTCAACTACACCTCATGATATGAACATCAGAGGATGGAGTGTGCTGCTCGGCATAAAATCCCTGCTTGGGAGTAGCTTTGCAGATCAAAGTGACCCCATCAAATTTACACCAGTGCACATGGCTTAGAAACAAATTGGAATTTTGGCCCAGCAGGGGCTGCATGTCCAAGTCAGACCAATAGAAATGGTTACAAACCCAACTTCCCTTCCTCCAGAGGACCTGTGGAGGCTTTAAGAAATCAAGGATGTAGAAAATACCTTCTATAAGCTGTCCTCCACTCCTGAAGAAATTCAGCCTCTCCATTTCTCTTCCTTTTCAAAACCTTGTTTGTTTCAACATTAACAACTGCAATTCTAAGTGACCTGAATAAGTTAATTCTTATAGTATACAGGGGAACAAAGTCAGTGATCCTGAGAGTCTTCCTCTCACCAACCACAACACCAAATGGGCAAGCCTGGCCCTGCCAGGGTACTGCAGATCATCTGCAGGACAGCCAGGCAGCTGTTCAGGGCTGGTACAGTTTGCTTTGGTAAAAGCCAAAACAGGAGAATGGAGACAAAGATGCCATCATTTATATTCAACCAGGATGTGTTAACCAGACCTTGGTCTTGAGAATAAATGTTCCCTTCTTTTGCCTCTCTGTCTGTCTAGGAAGATACCATGGAGGTGGAAGAGTTCTTGAAGGAAGCTGCTGTGATGAAGGAGATCAAGCACCCAAATCTAGTACAGTTGTTAGGTGAGTGAAATGCCTTGCTCTTTGTGTTCTTACTTAGTCTTCATTTTGGCAGAAACTTGCCTGGTTTAAATGCAGTGGCAGCTTTTCTGTATTTATGTAACTTTATGAATCAGGTCAGGTTATGGGGTGGTATTTTTGACAGCTTTATGTAATACTGGAGCTAAGAGACACTAATTTTAAATAAAACATCAAATACAGTCACTTACATTAGTAGACAACTTTGCTGTTGAGGCACGACTGTTACATAAAAGTTTGTAATATCAGCCTCTTGCTGCTTTGTGTCCTTGGCCTTCACAGGCTCCAGGGTTCAGATTCCTTCTCTGCTCTGTTAAATCAGATTTACAGAATAATTTTCTGTGGTTTATTTTTCTGAGAGAACAGGAGAGAATTGTAAGAAAATTCAAAGTGAAAGGAAAAATTCTGTTGGAAGCACAACAAATACCATTCTCCATACTTCTCAAATCAGAGACTTTTACAGAAAAGGCTGCATTGAAAAGAACAAATTAGTCCATAATTAGGCAGAAGACACCAGATTGCTGTTGCTGTGAGGAACTCTGTATCACCAAATAAGTACATGAGATCTAACAACCCAGGACTGGAAAAAATCCACAGGCTTTACATGGTGACTGTGCCCTGTTGTCTCACTGGCAGATGCATGATATGATGATCATTATTAAATAGTTTGCATAGCTGTCAAATCCACATGCACAAAGATTCTTAGGGAGACACCCTAAACCTTTACTAGTGTTTAATTGCCTCTGGATTTCTGGCACTTTCAGAAGCAGAGCTGTCAAGCCAAGCCTAGGATGAAAGGAGAAATGTGAAGAATGTGAAGGCTTTTACTAATGGCAACTGTTCTGTACCCACTTTAAAAACAGGGCACAGATGAAATTGTGTGCCAGTCCTGTCTGGTTCCAGGAGCAGCAGCTCAGAGATTTGTCACCAAATGAGAGGTGCATTTTTACTCTTTCTGGTGCACAGTGCTTTACTCCTGAATGTGTAAAGAGCTGCAGGGGGATCCCAGAGCTGTGACAAGAGTATCCTGTTGCCCTCCTCCTCCGCCTTTACATGCTTTTTACAGTGACTGTAGCAAGGAGTCATCCCAGGAATGTGTGAGAATGCTGCTCTAGGAGCAGGTCCCACCGTGCTGATTCCCTACCCAGCACATGGGAGTGCCTCACATTACTCTGTAGTGACATTTCAGCCTGGAAATCCTGCCAGCTGACAGGTACCTGCTTCCAGTTGGCCACTCTTCAGCTTTGTGGAGGCAGAGAAGGGAAGAAAAGCTAACTGTGTGTTCATAATTCCTCTTTTTTCATTCTGTAACCTTTCAAAGAGCAGAACTACTGCTTCATGAATATTAGATAGCAATAGTGGTGCTTTCATAGACATGTTTCCCTCTAGCCATAAAGTGGATGGAGAGAAAAACAGACAGAAGCCCTGAGTCTGGGCTGCACTGACCTGGGTGCATGGAAGTCTTCACTTTCCCAGAGGATCACTCAGTGGTACAAAATGCAGTGTTGAATCAGGAGCAGTGGTGAGGAAGGGAAGCTCTATTCACCTGCTGCTCCCTGCAGGTGTGTGCACCCTGGAGCCCCCGTTTTACATCGTGACAGAGTACATGCCCTACGGGAACCTGCTGGACTACCTGCGCGAGTGCAACCGCGAGGAGGTCAGCGCTGTCGTGCTGCTCTACATGGCCACCCAGATCTCCTCTGCCATGGAGTACCTGGAGAAGAAGAACTTCATCCACAGGTGGGGGAGGTCGTGTTGAGCTGGTGCAGTTTCAGAGTGCGGTGATAAACAGGCCACCAGAATGATGGGCTGGGAATTCCAGCTCTTGGGGAGGTTTCTGCCACAGCTGGGATTCACACTGGCTCATCCAGGGGCTCTGGTGGCTTCAGTACTGTCTTGCAGCAGATTTTCCCCACGACTTTCATAGCAATCTTGTGCCCAACTGCCTGGCAACACCTGTGTGCAGACAGTGCCCACCCAAAGTCCTGTTGAAATGTAGATAAAGCCGTGCCATAAACCTGTTACCAGTGTGTGATGAGCTGCTGATCCCATCCTATCCTTGACACCATAACAGCCACCATTACTGAAAATTTAATGGAATTTAAAAAGTTAATCCTAATCCAGATTTACCTCATTGCTCCTAAGAATAAATCCACTCAGTTTCTGACACTGTTCAGGGCAAAGCTCACCTTGCCTTTACCTGCTGTATACAGAGAGCACTTCCTGATCCAGGGGAGCAGGGCCCCAGAAGTGCATTCTGAAGCCCTGCTCCTGCTGCAGTGGTGTCCTTTGTTCCTTTGTACAGGGACCTGGCAGCACGGAACTGCTTGGTTGGAGAAAACCACGTGGTGAAGGTGGCTGACTTTGGCCTAAGCCGACTGATGACTGGTGATACCTACACAGCCCATGCTGGGGCCAAGTTCCCAATCAAATGGACAGCTCCTGAGAGCCTGGCTTACAACACCTTTTCAATCAAATCAGATGTGTGGGGTAAGAAAACTCACCTTCAGTGCCCTTTTCTTGTTCGTTTTATTTTTTTCTGCCAGCCCAGGCAAAACTTGCTTTCTGGCCTGGGCAGAAACCCTTGTGAAGACAGTCACATGCCAGGCCAGAACTTCATGAATCAATACCATCTTTAGCATGTGATATCTCCACGTAGACTGGCCTGAAATACCTGCAAGGAAGGCCACAGAGTAATGAACAACAATAGGGCAGACTTATGACCAGGAATTTTGCTTTCCTCCTTTTGCAGCCTTTGGGGTGCTGTTATGGGAAATTGCTACCTATGGGATGTCACCATACCCAGGCATTGACCTCTCTCAGGTGTATGATCTGCTGGAAAAGGGCTATCGGATGGAGCAGCCAGAGGGGTGCCCTCCCAAGGTGTATGAGCTGATGAGGGCATGTGAGTATCTTCTTCCAGTTGTGGGGGCAAAGCCTGGGAAGGTGGGAGGAATCTGGAATTAACAGCAATACCTGATCCTCAGCATGTCAAAGTTAGAGTGGACTTCAGTTATGAAACAAAGAAGGTGGGGAATGATGAAGGATATTACTGCTTAAAAAACCTTAAGGAAGTTGACAAAAGCCAAAAAGCTGGGAATTCATATGGTCATAATGCGAAACAAGCAGAATGCCAGTCACTTTCCAGACCTTGTGGTGATACCAGCGGACAGTGCTTCCGGAATACATCCTTCTAGTGCAGATTTCCAACTGCAGAAATTACATTTTTCATTATGATACTCTTCTCTAACTTCCCAAGCTCCATCTAGGATTAAGGCACTCTCCTCCTCTTTCCCCCAGAGGATCCACACATCCTCCTTTTGGAAGGGTCTGCCTGAGATATTAAGAGCATGGGAGCAGGATGGTGCCTGAAGCTTTACATACTCAGTTATCTGTGGCTGGGCTAGATGTGTTCAGTCCAAGCAGCCAGGGTAGCAAATACAGAATTGTCCTTTGCCCAAACAATTCAGAAAGGGGGATGGGGAGATCAGAAAAACCTGTAGAGTTGGCAGAGAGCTGGGATTTTAGAATTGGTTCCTTCTCATGATTTGTTTGTGAGGATCAGTATGGTGCTAACTGCTGCCATGAATCAGCACCTGTGAATGACTCTCAAGCCTGTTTAACAGTGGGTCAGAGTGTGACAACTTTCTGTCTGCTTGGACAGAAGAAAAGTTCATCTCCCTTTTTCAGGCACTGAGACTTACTCTGCTTTGTGGCATTGCAGGCTGGAAGTGGAACCCACCAGACCGACCTTCCTTTGCTGAGACCCACCAGGCTTTTGAAACCATGTTCCACGACTCGAGCATCTCAGAGGGTGAGAGCTGCTGCTGTTTTCTTCCTGGAGCACTGGAGGTTATCCCCAGAGTGCTGTGTCTCATGCATGGGCCCTTAAGGCTCATCTGCTGGCAGTGGGGTTGAAATGGAGCTCCATCCCTTATTCTTTTAGCCATAATTGGGATAAATAACTTGTTTCACAAATACTGAATAAAATTCAGACACATGCCAGTGCAGGGAACAGTGTAATTTCATTTGAGCAGTAAATGCCAAAGAGCTGATTTAAAGAATATTGTCTCCTCTATCAGAGGAAATCTCTTGTTTTCCAGGCTGAAGAGTGAGGAATAGTAAGTGATGGAGAAAGATGTATGCATATCACAGTCCCTTGCTGACTGCAGCAATTAGGTCATGAAATATTATTCTACCAGCCTCCACTTTTAACAAAGTGTGCTTTAATCTCTGGATTTTCTGCTTAGCTACTTCTAGGAGCAAATCTGTGCAGCTCAAGTCTGAAATATAATCTACCAGGAGGTAAATACTGGTGAGGAATGTGATACTATTCAGCAGACAAGCAGAAATGTCAGAGCATTCTGCTCAATTTTTAAATTAAATATGCAGCTGATCCATCAACTTCCCTGCTACAGCAAAAAGACACCAGATGGAATTTTACCAGTGAGGACCTATAATAGACACATTCAGTGGCCACACAAATGCCAAGCTGGGTGTGGCCAGGAGGTTTGGGGTTTTTTCTGTGTTTGTTTTCTTTTTGTTGACCTATTGTTGACATGCAATCTTTATTTCTTCATCTAGGAGGATGCAGTGCTTTGCCACAAGCAAAGCAGCTTAGACCCAGATCCAGGGAGGACACAACTTTGGGGGTGCATCAGTAGGAGGCACCTTGATTAAAGACAGGCAAATGCATCCAGTGCTGCCTTTAGCTCTTGAGCAGCCTTTAATAGACCCCTGGTACAGATCCTACCACTCTTGTTTTTTTTTTCCTGAATTTATAAAGGTATAAATGAGTTTGAAATTGTTAGGAAAAACATCTGACCCTAAATACTTCTAGACTTGAACAAAGACTAAATCCATAAATTATGTATTACTCAGTCATGGATCTCTTCCATGAAAAGACCCAGATTGTTTTTTTTGACTCTTCCTTTGCTGGTCTCTGTTTTGATTATTCCCATTTTTTCCTTACAGAGGTAGCAGAGGAGCTTGGAAGAACAGCCTCATCCTCATCCATAGTTCCTTACCTGCCCCGCTTACCCATGCTCCCCTCCAAGACAAGGACCCTGAAGAAGCAGGCAGAGAACAAGGAGAACATTGAGGGAGCACAGGACACTGTGGAGCACTCAGCATCCAGCTCAGCACCAGGTGTGAAACAAAGAACAACCTGACATGGGCATGCTTTGTGCTGCTGTGTGAATTATTTACTAGCAAGTAGTTTTTTCAATGTTCTTTTAGTAAATCCCATTGTATTTTTTTTCTTTGCATTTCAGTTTTGCTGCTCTTTTTTAAATGACAGCTTCAAAACTGAAGTTAACAATGCAGCAAGAGATTTTCTCCTATACTTAGGGTGTTTGGAAAGGAGCAGAAAGTTATGGGAAGGGAGCAATAAACTGAAAGAAAAAAACAGCTCTTTTCTGATCTCTTTCCAAAGTGGTCTTCTCAGTATAGACAACAGACAAGTCAGATACAGGAAAAAAGTAAAGAAAAGATAAAATACAAGTGCTTGCTTCCTCCCTCACTCTATCTCTGCAGCACCTGGGCAGGTAAATACACCAGGCCTGTAAAACCCAGTGCAGGACAGGGAGGTGGAAATGGAAATAGATTGTCCAGATTGACACCTGTCTCTCCTGGCCAGGTTTCATCAGAAGCACACAGCCAGCAGGCGGGTCCCCCGCGCTGCCCCGCAAGCAGAGGGACAAGTCCCCCAGCAGCCTCCTGGAGGATGCCAAAGAGACCACGTTCACCAGGGACAGGAAAGGGGGCTTCTTCAGCTCCTTCATGAAGAAAAGGAATGCTCCCACGCCTCCCAAGCGCAGCAGCTCCTTCCGGGAGATGGAGAACCAGCCCCACAAGAAATACGAGCTGACGGGTAACTTTTCCTCTGTGGCCTCCTTGCAGCACGTGGACGGGTTCTCCTTTGCTCCAGCACAGCAGGACACGAGCCTGGCTCCCCCCAAGTGCTACGGAGGGGGCTTTGTGCAGAGGACCTTCTACAGCGAGGAGGGCACTGGGCCCAGCAGTGCTGGGGCTGTGAGCACTGGTGGAGGGTGGTCGGGCATCACTGGCTTCTTCACGCCACGCTTGATTAAAAAGACGCTGGGTTTGCGAGCAGGAAAACCCACTGGCAATGAAGAAGCTTCAAAGCCTTTTCCAAGGTCAAACTCTACATCTTCCATGTCCTCAGGGCTTCCAGAGCAGGATAGGATGGCAATGACCCTTCCCAGAAATTCCCAGAGGTCAAAAATTCAGCTGGAACGGACTGTGTCCACCTCCTCCCAGCCCGATGAGAGCACAGAGAGGGCCAGTGACCTGATTGCCAAAAGGTTTGAAGAAGGCCCTTCTTTGACCAGAGAGAGACCAAAAGCAAAACTCTTGCCAAGGGGTGCCACAGCGCTCCCTTTTCGAACTCCCTCCGCGTCGGAAGAAAAGGAGGGTCCGGGGCTGGTGGCAGCTCCTAAGGGCAAGGAAAAAAACAGCGGCCCACGACAAGGGGCCCTTGAGGATGGCGAGAGGCCGGGGTGGTCATCTCCGGTAAAGGCTGCAGCAATACTTCCAACCACTCATAACCACAAAGTGCCAGTCCTAATCTCACCCACTCTAAAACACACTCCAGCAGACGTGCAGCTCATTGGCACAGACTCTCAGGGTAATAAATTTAAGCTCTTATCTGAGCATCAGGTCACTTCTTCCGGCGACAGGGACCGGCCCAGACGGGTAAAACCAAAGTGTGCTCCACCTCCACCACCGGTGACGCGGCTCCTCCAGCAGCCGGCTGCCTGCTCGGACGCAGCAGAAGAGCTGAGCGGCGCGGCGGGAGCGCAGCACGGACTGGAACCCAGCGAAGGGAGTAAGAAGGCAGCAGCAGCAGCAGCACCTGTCGGTGGAAAATCCGGGAGGCCCGTGATGCCTCCGCCCCAAGTGCCTCTGTCAACGTCTTCCACCTCCCCAGTGAAAATGGCCAACGGCACGGCCGGCGCCAAGGTAGCGCTGAGAAAGACCAAGCAGGCGGCCGAGAAAATCCCCGCGGACAAGATCAGCAAGGAGGCGCTGCTGGAGTGCGCCGATCTCCTGTCCAGCGCCATCGCCGAGCCCACGCCCAACAGCCAGCTGGTGGACACGGGGCACCAGCTGCTGGATTACTGCTCAGGCTACGTGGACTGCATCCCCCACACGCGCAACAAATTCGCCTTCCGGGAAGCCGTGAGCAAACTGGAACTCAGCCTGCAGGAGCTGCAGGTGTCCTCGACGGCCGCCGGCGTCCACGGGGCGAACCCCGTCCTTAATAACTTATTGTCATGTGTCCAAGAAATCAGTGATGTGGTGCAAAGGTAGCTACTGTCAGTCTGGGTAAGAGAAACACACACGGGGAGGGCGGGACTGTTTTTCTGTACTGATGCTTTCAAAAGGAAAGACTGATACTTGAGTATGTGAAGTACCTCAGATCACTGAGTTCTCCTCACGTTTACAGGTTCATCTCAAAAAATTGGGGATGGAGAGGGTAGATTAAAGCTGTAAGGGGCAGAACATCAAGGATCTGTCCCTACCTAGTCAGGCTGATCAGCTTGGTATGGCAAGGGAAAGAAAGTTCCCTCTCCTCCCCTGGAGAGGCAGGAGAACCCACGGCAGGTTCTCCCTCTGGGCAGGTTGGTGGTGACAGCCAGAGCCCTGGGCTGGCTGCAGCTGCCTGGCTGCACAGATCCCACCCTGGCTGCTCTCACCTGTGCTCTGCTGTCCTGTCAAGGCCAAGGAAAGGCACTGGGGCTCTGCTGGTACCAAGGGCAGAGCAGCTCCAGAGGGGGTCATGTACAGCTGGGGGAAAGGTCTAATGCACTGACAGTATTCAGAGCTGCTGGAGGTGGATGCACTGGTCTGGATGGCTTAACTTCCACAGCACTGTTGCTGCTGTAGTGAGAACTGCAAGATTAGTTAATATATGAAACTGTCCCTTTTCCCTCCTGTCCACCTCATCCACCACGTTCTCATTGTCATTGTATTGGAAGAGTCAGGGATGCTGGGCAGACTTACCACTGGAATTCCCCTTCCCACCACACAGCCTTCACTCAGCTGATACCTATTTCTAGTGGTCTAGCACAGGTGCTGCTTGATGGTCATTTTTGAGTAGTTTGGGGCTCTTGCACAACTTGCCAGTGTTGTTGTTGGGGTGGGTGGGTTGTTCCTTTTCTGAAGCTCTAGATTGTTTTTAACTTGTTACCACATTTACCCCCAGTTCAGTGTGATCACCATGAGGACCCATGGTAGGTAAGGCAGAGCCTCTGCCCCCCTGGCTGTTCTCCACATTCCTTTAGCAGTCACAGCACTGCAGGGCCAGCTGGAGAACCACAAAGTACAGCCCAGCCTGCCCACCATGTGTCCTTCCTGCTGCAGGATTCCCTGCACCTGTCCCTTACCCTTCACACTGCCAGGTTCCTGGGATTTGTTCTGGTGTTTGCTGTCTCACAAGCTTCTCTGCATCCCAAGGTGATAAAGTATGGCAGCACACAGGAAACACCACAGGTATCTCCATGGATTTGTTCCCTTATTTTAAAGGCTAGACCAGAATCCTACACTGTGGTGTAGGGAATGTGCACATAACCTGTGCACTGCTGTGCCTGAGGCATGGCAACAAAAGCTGTGGCTCTGCCTTGAAGGGCTCCCAGTGGGTCTCTGATGCCTTCTAACAACCCCAGAATGAGAGCAGCTGAGTTGTTGGCAATGTCATCCTGGGTCCTGGTGCTGTTTGCAGACTGTTGTGGCCTCAAAAAGCTGCTCTGTGTCTATGCACAGCTCCCCAAGGTGTGAATGTACTGGCAAGTAGGAAGAGCTCAGCTGCTGGTTTGTGAGAGGAAGGGAAACAGGCCTGAAACCTGGCTCCAAATACACCTTCCTGCATGCTGCTGCTCACTGCACACTGCTGGTGATAGAGGGTCTTGCTTGCTTTGCACCTTAAGCCTTTATTTTTTTTTGTTAAAACGCTTTCTAAACTTGTTTTTGAAGTGTGGCTGTGCTGCTTTCAGTCTGAGCATTTAGAGTGGAGCTGTGGCACGGGTGTGACTTTAGAGGATGGGCACTTTGTTTCTGTCTAGAAGCACGTGGTGGTGCTTGAAAGAAGGCTGGGTGTCTCAGCAAGTGTCCCCCCATTATCCACAGAGCATGAGACAGGCCTGGAAAAATCTTTAGAAATGTGCTGAGAATCCTCATTTCATTTCTGTCTGAGCTAAGCACAGTTGTTTCAGGGTGTGTGGAGGCACAGCAGAGGAGCAGCATGTGAGGTACAGTGGACCAGTGAGCTTCTGGCCCAGGAAGGGAAGTGCTGGGGGGGAAAGAACCAAGCAACCCCTTGTGCTGGCAATTCCTGATCCCTGCAGCCCTGAGATGTCCCAAGGCTCTCCACAGGCAGAGCACCAACCCCTTATCTCCTAGACTTTACTGAGGGCTTTTGTGGTTTACCTTATCTCTTTCAGCCATCTTCATGGAAGGTGTGCATCCCAACTGACTGCCTTGGGAAAGGTGACCTGCCAAGGGAAGGTGGCTTGTGGCATTGCTTCACAGGGCCTGTCAAACAATCAGAAGCGTTTAGAAGGTGGGGGGACTCTCTTCCCTTGGGGGCAGAAGGGCAGGTCATGCTGGCAGGCCATCACATGGTTCCATGGTTGTACTGCTGCTCAGCCTGGGACAAATGGGCTGGAACTGAAGGGATCCCAGGGGAAAGAATTTTAAAGTTTAGCCCAGTTCTGATGAGCATTTTGAAATAAACCTTTTTTTTTTTTTTCCTAAATGCCAGTCTTCCAGAAAAGCTACAGCAAAAGTGGTAGAATAGCAATATGGAATTTCTAACTACTAGAACTCCCCTCTTGCAGAAGAAAGCAGCTGTGTCCCAATGAACACTGTGGGCCATCCCCACTTCCTTTCAGGTGCCCCATTTTCTCCTTGCCCCTGCAGCAGAGATGGGCAGTGGGACAGGGCAGCATCCAGCTGCTTTTCCAGAGTGACAGAATGGCTGAGGTTGGAGGGAACTTTGGAGGTCACCTGGTCCAAACACTCCCCAAGCAGGGCCACCAAGAGTCACCTGTGAGGACCATGTCCAGGCAGCTTTTGGGCATCTCCAAGCACAGAGACTCTACAACCCCTGTGCCCCACACAGGAGTGTTTAGTTCTGACCCCTCCTCTGGGTCAAAATCAAAGGCTGGTGGAATTTGGGGATTGTCACTCTCATGGGAAGTGTTTTCCCTGCCCTCACCTATCATCTAACATCAGGTGGGCAGATTGTGGCAGAGGTAGTGCTGACTTGACAGGTTTTTTCCCCCTGAATTGAAGGCTGTGGGATTGCTGGGACTTCTGCTGCCCTAGGGTGTTTTATTCCCAAACTGCAATGCTGCCCTGCCCTCTGGCGGGATAGCAAAAGGAATCTGGGAAAACTGGTTCTGCTGTAAATCACCATCCTGTTGTCTTTGCTTCCACTGCTGCTTCTAAGACTTCTACCATTCCCTCTCCCTTTAGCTAGGTCTGCCTTTCTCTTCAGCCTTAAAGGTCTCCACTGTGGCCAATTCTCTGCTTTCAGCCTGGCACCAAATGTGCAAAGGAACAAACCCCATTATTTGTCCCAGTGAAGAGCACTTCCTGCTCCATGGTTTGGGGCAGGGGACAAGGCAGAAGTCCCATTGTTTCTTCTCCCCAGCACTGTCAGACTGCTGTGGGGCACAGCTGGAGCTGGGCTGGCTCTCTTGCACTGCTGTGGGCCAGAATTTAAAGCAGTTGTCTTTGCCATGGGGAAGGCACCCGCGGGCCTGCTGCTGCCAAGCACAAAGCACAGAGTGAGCTCAGGGGGGGCACTTTCTCTTCCTACCCCTGTGGGAATCAGCTGACTCACAGGTGCAATTCTCTCTTCTTCCTGCACTGTACACCCCTCCTAACCCCAAAGTGGTGCACTTGATTTAGTCATGTTCTTCATTAGTGTGGGCAGGGTGAGGCTGAGCTACGAGTCTGGGTCTTGGGACTGCACCAGATTCAGCCAGTGGGAAAGGGGAACTGAAGGGAGCAGCATTGCTGATGGCACAGCAGGGAGGCTGTGCTTGTCCTCCTCAGGACTTTGTCCTGGGTGCCACTGGCCCTGTGTCTGTGAGACACGGCCAAACACGAGGGCTGACATCTGTCAGGGTGCTTTGGGGGACTTGTGGGGCACAGGGAGCCAAACCCCACAGTGGAGACAGAGCAGCCCCTCCCCACCAGGCTGGGGTGTGGGTGGGTCACACTGCAGCCACAGAGCAACCCCAACCCTCGTGTCCTACCACTCACCTGAGGCAGGCGTGGCCTGCGGGGCATCCACAGCACTGACAGGCACCAGTGACTCCCCAGGATGGTGCTTCCAAAGCCATCAGGCTGCTGCCTTCTCTGGGACACACTCAGCTCAGCCCTGCTGCCCACCAGGAGCTGGCAGGGACACTTCAAGGGAACTGCAGCATGTGTGGAGGCTGCTGGGGTGGTGCTGCCCCTCCCTGGAGTGTGGAACAAAGGCCTCAGCCCATTCTCTGGTAGCAGGTCCCAGGAGGCTCTGGGACACTGACTTGTTTCTCCCAGCTCCAGGCTAAGCAATGTCTGTACCAAAGGAGGTCGTTCTTCCTTTCCCACGTGTCTGTTGTGCACGGGAGGTGGAGCCTGCTGGGCTCACATGGCACTGTTTGTATCGGTAGTGAACTCGTTGAAGGCAGGAATGGATTGAAATGAATCACGTTAATCACCAATCACTCTTAGCAGTGTTGTCAACTGTTTTTGTTTTTTAATTGTTATTGTAATATATTTTGGTTGTTTTTCTAATTTAATTCTCTCACTATCGTCTGACTGTGAACTGCGAACAGTGTTAAACTTGATGTAAATAAGGCCTTGGAAGGGCCTCTTTGCCTGTCGTTCCACAAAGTTTTGCCAATTTGCATTTTGTTTTAAATAAAGGTTGCAATATTTTATTGGCAAAAACCACTTGAGTAGATGCTGGGGTTTTTTTTTTTTCCCCTCAATGAATATTTGAAACTGCTCAGTCCTAACCAGAAGCTCTTTCATTTGGGTGGAAAAACCATTAAAAAAGAGAGAATTTAATTCCAGCAGGTTGCAGAAAAAGCAGTATCTTTATTTTAGACCCAAACTGTTGCCTTGGCATGGTCAGAGAGCAGCTGTTGCTGTTTGGGGCTGATCAGAGCTCACCCAGGTGTGACACACACACAGGTGACCCAGCAGAGTGCAGCTCTGGCCTTGCCCTTGTCAGTGTCACCCCCACCTCCCTCAGCAGCCACAGCCAGAGCTGCTCCATGCCCTCCCTCAAACCCGTCCCCAGTGACCTCCTGCCACCCCAGCCTGGGGCAGCCTAACCCAGCTGAACACTTCTTGACATTCAGGAAAAATCCTGGCTTATCCTGGCTTGCACACACAACCTTTAGGCCACTCACCTTCAGCACACAGCTTGCTAAACTTCTGCCCAGGTGACCAAACACAAGCTGAGCTGTGTCCTGTGAGGCAGCAGCGTCCCTGCCCCAGCTGGAGGCATCACCCCGATGGTGCCCAGGTTTCTAACACCTGAGATTAACCATAAGCCCAGTGTCAGAAATGCCTGATCACCCCCCTGGCACAGCCCCAGGGTCTGTTCCACACAGCTGGGTTAAGGCAGCTGCACTGGCTGAGCAGTGGGAGAGCAGCAGGCTCATCCCTGCCTGGGGCTGTGGCCCCTCCTCAGGTAACAGAGCCTGGAGGGAAGCAGGGACTCGGAGGCTGCAGGGCCTGGACGTGTCTGTCTGGTCACTCCTCCCCAGAGGCCACACTGCTCATCACTGGCACCACAAAATGGGTCAGGGCTTAAAATAGACCAAAGGTCCCCCGTGGGGGTGGCTGGTGTCCTTGGCAGGGGCTGTGTCACTCCTGGCCAGCACAGCCCTGTTGGAAGGGAGTTTTGACCCAGAGGTCACAGAGCGATTCCCGTAACACTGATGAAATGTTTTGGAGCTGCTGCAACACTCTTATCACCTGGCCAGTACCCAGACAGCAAACAGCCCCTTGGAGTAGTAATAATAATAATAATAAAAATAATAATAATAATAATAATAATAATACTGTACCAGCCAAAAAGCCACAGCATGAAATGTACTGAAGACAAAAACGAAAAAAAGAAGGAAAAAACCCCAAGCTTTTACTGCATCCATGAAAACTCACATGCAGCTGCAGCCTGATGCTTCAGCCACCATCCTCCTCACCTGCCCTCTGCCCTTGGGCAGAGCAGTTCTCTCCCCTTTTTGGCTCTGCAGTGAAGGCAATGGGCTCTGCACCAACCTGCTCAGTACAATAACTGCAGCAGAAGTTCCACTCACCCAGCAGCTGCTTCTGTACAACGGAAGACTCCAATGGGAGGTGGACACTCCAAGGTGAGAGCTATGGATTTGGCATCTCCAGAGGAGATTATTCAGTCCTTTTTTCCCTGCACAGACTACAGTCCTGGCACATGTGTCCCTGAGCAGCAGACACCTTAGAAAGGCATGAGAGCAACAGAGGGGAAAAACTCAACTCCAGCAAAGCAGTTCTGTGTGATGTTGGAAAATGACAGAGAAAATTGGGGACAGGGATGTGGCTTGGGCCACAATGTCTCAACAGGACCAGCCTGTCCAAGGCCTCCCTTCACCACACAGCAACAAAACAAGGACTTGGACATTCCCAGTCCCCACTCACGTGGAACAGCATCTGTCAGCAGAACCACATCACCCCTCCAGCTAAAGAAGGGACTTAAAACAGCAGACAGGCTCCCAAAGCAGCCAAGCACAGGCTGTCCCCACATCCCAGGAGTAAGGGATGCACCTCTTTCCCTGCAACAGCTCTGGGGGACTTGAGTCTCTGTTAAGCCCCTGTGCAAGTGCCTGGCTGGGTCATTGCCTCTGACCCTGTGCAAAGAGAGCAGCAGCTCCCGGAGTGCAGAACCCTTTCAGCACACTTCTGGTCCCCCTGGTGTTCAAGGAAGGAAATAATTGATGCGTTGGGGCACAGATTTGCAGCCCTGTGCAGAGAAAAGCTTCTCCTCTTTGGGGACAAACACCATCATCTGGGCCACCTGGTCGAGCGTTGCCTCGGTGTAGGGAAGGCCCCGGGCCAGGAAGGCGTCCCGTGCACAGAGCCTCACGTGCTGGTACTCCAGGGGCAGGAACGGCACCACGAAATCGATCAGCTTCTCCCTGAGGAGCTGCCTGTGGGCGTAGCTGTTCTCTGGAGCACAGCAAAGGACAAGGCAAACTCAGAAGCTTCACCTGACAGCATCATCCCACCAGGCTTGGTTCCGAGGGGCTCATCCAGTGGGACCCCCTAGTGCAGAGCCGCTCAGCACTGTGAGCACAGAGCATGTCTAGGAGTCCCACCAAGAGATGCCTGGAGCCCCAGAGAAGGGTCAGCACTGCCCTGTGAGGCTGAGCTGCCTCTTGCCCCAGCCATTCTCAGGGCTGAAGGGGCCTGGAGCCTCTTGGCTCACAGGGACCAAGGCTGGGGCTCTCATTGTGAACAACCCCCGGAGTGAGGGCCTGTTCCCCCAGCACAGCCCTGCATGGCACTCAGTGGATGGGACACTGCAGAGGGGCAGCCTTGCAGCAGCCTGGCCACAGCCCCCAGGCAAGCCCAGCCCTTACCTGCAGCCTCCTGCAGCTCCAGGCGCAGCCGCTGCTCCAGCAGCTCCAGGGGAATCTCCTCCCGCGCCCGCCCGGCCCGCCAGAAGTCCAGGGCCACCTCATTGATGGTGTTGCCACCAAGATTGCTGTGGACACAGAGGGAGGTCACTCAAGATTTCCCCCAGAGAGCTGCCAGCACCTTCCCTGCAGGCAGGCCCCAGCAGTGCTGTTGGCCACAGAGGATTTGCTGTCTAGGATCAGCACATGGAGAGCCAATGTTCTTCCCAAAGAGCCCCTTTCCACAGGAATGCAGCTGTCTGTCATTCTGCCAGGGGCAGCAGGATCCTCCATCTCCCTCAGTCCCCTGTTCTGGCTTGGGAAGCCACCAACCTTGCAGGTGACACCTGGCTCCACACCAAATGCTGAACAAGCCACCACAAAGTCCAGGTTAAAGGGCAGAGCACGTGGCAGGAGCCCCACTGGAAGTAAAGGTCCAGGACGGATTCCTGGCAGCCCAGGAGTTGGCACAGCATCCTCTGCCCACGGGACAAAGCAGCAACACAGCTCCCACCTAAGGGCTCCTCTGGCCACCCATGGGGGCAGCTCTGGGGTGGGGTTTGCAAGGTCCTGGCAGCTGTTGTGCATCCCAGGACAGCCCTTCAGCCTGGAAAGCAGGTCCAGGAAAGGTGTCCCCCTCCCCGAGTGCTGGTGAAGGGCTTGTCCCCAGCCCTGAATGCCCCAGTGGACTGGGAAGCAGCTGGATGCAGAGCTTGTGTGGGTGAGAGGCAGAGAGGCAGTGGGAGGCACAGACCTTGTACCCCACCCTCATGTCAGAGGCTCTGGACCCCAAAATGAAGGCAGGGAAAATTAAAAAGCCAGCACTGTTTCCCACCATGCCCCCACCCAGTGTCAGGGAGAAAACAGGGAGAAAACAGCCTGTACTGATCCTGCTTCCAACCCAGAGCCCCTTTAGGCTGGACAGGCAGCCAGCCCCACCCCATCTGCAGGACTGTGCCAGTGTCCACAGCAGCCCTGGGCCACAGCCATCCCTCCTAAAGCAGGTCAGTGTCACACTGCCACACGAGTGATGAAACCCCTGGGGTGACACTGCTGCAGTTCAGGGCACCCTGCTCCCCTCTGCTTGCTGGCACTGTGACATTCCTGACTGCAGGGCTGCCAAGCAGGACACCAGGCCCTGTGCAGCTGGGCCACGTCCACCCCTGCTGAGCAACAGGGCAGGAGCTGCCCCTTGCCCCACAGCCCCTTGCACACAGGTGGGACCAGAGTGAGGGCAGTTCCACAGGCACTGGGCACACACAGGGAAACCTCTCTGAGGGAAGCACCAAGCTGGGAGGTTGGAAGCCTTGCCTGGATGGTGGAAGTGGAAGAGGAATGCTCTGCTCACCTCCAACCACCAGGAACAGCTCTGCCAGAGCCAAGCCCAAGGCTGCAATTCCCAAACTGAAGGGAGCCCAAGATGCTGATCCTGATCTCTCACTCTTTAGGGGCACTTCAGTTAGGTGCCTGCCTCACATCCTGGTTCTGAGATGTCCCATTTCTCCCTCCAGCTGCATCCCACACAGAGACAGTGCTGGGGTGCACTTCCTGGGAAAGGAACCAACTAAACCAGGCTGTGCTGATGCCAGGATCAGCCTCACAGCACCTCAGTCTGCAGCCACAGCCAGGCAGTGGGAACTCCCCAGCTCCTAACAATGCATGGCAACTTCCCACCAAGGCCTTCAGCCCCAGCTCTGCTCCCTGGAGTGTGACATCTGCCCAGCTGGGCAGGGTGACACTGTGTTAACTGACTGTCCTTCCTTGCCTCCAAATCCAGACTCAGGCTCAGGTGTCCCAACCCAGCTGGACCTCAGCTCCTGCAGATGTCCCCAGGGAGGATGCCCAGCATCCACAGGTAAAACTGAACACAGAGGCAACCACCACGAGGGAATGAGGTACCTGTGCCCTCCCTGCCGCCTCAGCCCCTTGTATCACACACCTCTGGGGACAAACACCATTACCTGGGGACCAGAAATCACCTGAGGAAGAGGAAGATGGATCTCTGCTGATCTGCCTGGCCCTTGTTGGTGTGCTGAGCCATGAAGGGTGTGATGGCATCCAGGAGGTTGGAGTGCAGCTTCTCGGCCTCGTCGAAGATGAGCAGGGCCTGCCTGCAGCGCTGCAGGGTCTCGCTGATCTGCCTCTGCAGCTGGGCCTGCAGCAGGGAGGGCACTCAGGAACCCTGGCATCCCCTGGGACCACACAGCTGCTCCATCCCCTCCCACCCAGCAGGACAGGGCAGAGAAGAGAAGAGCAAAGGCAGGAAAACGAGTGAGTGAGATAGATTAGTTTAATAAGTGAGGAAACAGGAAAGAAAGACATCAAGTGGTGCAAAGGCAGCCACCCCCCTGCCACTAACAGACTGATGCCCAGCCCGTCTCTAAGCAATGGCTTCCTGCCACCAAAGCCCCCACCTGCAGCTTTTATTCCTGAGCATGGCAGTAAATAACATGGGATATCCCTCTGGCACTAGGACTCAGCTCTTTGGTGTGTCCCGAACTCCCTGTACTGACCTCATAGGCTGAGTGGGAGAGGGGGGAAGCCCTGAGGCTGTGCAGGCACTGCTCAGCAGTGACCAGCCAGTGCTGTGGGACACAGTTTCCCTCACAAACCCAAGGCACAGCCCCACATGGACATGAACTCCAGCCCAGCCCAGCCCACAGGACCATCCCCTGCTGTTGGCTCTCACCTTGTAGGAGTCCACGTAGTTGTGGTGTGGGAAGTGGAGCAGGGACACGAACACCCTGACACAGTCACTCCTCAGCCCGTCCCGGAACAGGTGAGCGGCCACCATGCGAGCCACAAAGTTCTTCCCCGTGCCAGACCAGCCATGGAAGGACAGCACCAGAGCCTTGGGGGGCCGTGGGCTCTGCAGGAAGCCCTGCACCGCCCGCAGCACCACGGCCTTGGCCAGGTGCTGCCCGTGCAGCTGCCCATTGAGCTCTGCCTCCAGCCCTGCACAGAGAGCACAGGCTCAGCTCCTGCCAGCACTGCTACTGCACGTGGGGGTAAGAGGAGAAAACGTGGCAGGGATGCCTGGCCAAGAGGACTGTGAAGTGGCATTAAAGCCACAGGCTGCCTGTGCCCTGCCTACATCAGCCTCTGGCCCCAAAAAGACACAAATCTTCCACTGACTCCTTTTTTCCTTTAGGAAAAGGCAGAGATGCTTGGCAGCTGCAGAGAGCACTGATGCCCCAAGGCCCTCCCAAGCACCCAGCACAGGGTTTGCATCCCAGGAGTCTCAGGGACAGCAAAACACAAAGACACCTACTCATGGCTTACACACAGGTCTCAGTGTGCCCTCCCAACCTAGGGCAGGGTCCTGAGCCAGTTTGGATCCCGCTATATGTGCCTGGAAGCTATGGGATGCAGGCAGGGCTCATGGCAAGCTGGAGCAGATACACTTACGCAGTAAGGAACAAACTCTCTTTGGTCTCAGAACTTCAAATGGGACACAGGACTGAGCTCAGCCTCTCACCCTCCCACAGCTCAGCACCCCACTCAGAAAAGCCCTTTACTAACGTTCTAGAATACACTTTAACAGGAAAAAAGCCTCAAAACAAGCCACAAAGAGCACAGCCCCTACCTGTGATGTTGTTGATGATCCTGCAGTCTCCTGTCTCACAGCACTTGCCGAAGCTACAGTACCAGGCAGAGAGGATCTCCAGGTAATCCTGGCCCACCAGAGGAAAGCCCCAGCCTGGAAACGGGAGCAGAATGAGCAGAGAAGCTCCAGGAAAGGCTTTTTTACATTCTGGGCTCACGGCAATTCTCTCCCAGGTGCAGGGACTCAACCATGTCCCTGCGGGCAGCCCTGGCTGTGGGGAGGACAGTGAGCTCGGAATTGGCAGCAGCCCGAGATGGCTCCGAGTGCCCAAGAAGTGCAAGAGCCTCATCCCGGGGTGTGCCAAGGAGGGAGATACCCGGGGCAGCCACCTCGGGAAGGAAAGGCAGCGCCACAGGAGCCGGGGCCACAGCAGGGTCCGGATCTGCTGTTCCCTCCTGGGCACGGGAGAGAGCAGAGCAAGGCGCTTACCCGGGATGGGACTGGCCTCTCGTTCTCCTTGCTGTTTCTCCTCCTCCTCGCAGCCCTCCTGCCACACCTTGCACGCCAGGTACTGCCAGTAGTGCTTGGAGAGAGCTCCCAGATGCTTCTTCACGGCTTCGTACCTCACCCTGCCCCACGGTGCCCCCTCCGGGACGGCTCCCTGCTCCTCTGCCCAGGGCGCCCGGGGCGGCGGCGTTGTCCCGGGGCTGCCCGAGCCGCCCAGGAGCAGCAGCAGCACCAGCACAAAGCAGCCGAGCACGCGGGGGGCCGGGAGCGTGGCCGGGCCCATGGCAGCGATGAGGGACCGGGAATGGAGAGGGCCCGGGAATAGTGCGAGTCCGGGACTGGAGCGGGCCCGGCCCCGCTCCGCTGGGCCCCGCGGCCGGCCTGGCCCGAGCCGCCCTCACTTCCTGAGGTGTTGCTGGGAGCAGCCGCGGGCGGTGCCGGCCCCGGCCAGACGTGGCTTCCCTGTCGCCGTCGCAGCCACAGGGACGCGACAAAAACCAAGCCCGGGGCCAGCGGCGGCTGCGGCCCCGCCCCGGGCCCGGCCCGCCCCGGCTGTGAGGGGAAGGGCTGGGGAGGGCCCGGGAGGCGCCCGGCCGTGAGGGGAAGGGCTGAGGAGGCTCCCGGCCACCGCCTCCCACAGAGTTGCGGCACCGGCAACGAGCGCCTGGGGAAGGCAATGATCTGGATTTTAAACTGCCCAGCGGCTCGGCTGAGGTTGTGCAGCCGCAGACATAGGAGAAAAGGACATTGAGGCAGCTGTTCCTCAGTGTCCTTTCAAAGGGGACACAATTGAGGCAGCTGTTCCTCAGTGTCCTTTCAAAGGGGACACAAAAATAAAAGATAAGGAAATAAAAACAAGGGAGCAGCGGGGGAGCAGCAGGGCTGTCCAGGCTGCGTTGGCTGCCTGCTGTCCCGATATCCTGAGCTCAAGGCCAAAATGCTTTGGAAACAGAAAGGATTTCAAGGTTATCCCACACGCTCAGAAAAATAAAAGTAAGGAGGATCATAAATAGAATTAATCCAGCCCGGTAGTTGCCTGGTCCAGGTGGATGGAGCGGGGATGAAGCCCAGGCGTGGAGCAGAGCGCATCACCATCTACAGGTGCCTGCAAATATTACACAGCAGCGTTTCACATACTGGGACCAACAAAACAGCCCCTTCAGCTACAAAAACAGTGAGGCCGAGACTTGAACCCCACTTGCAACAACTTAAACAGAGCTAAAAATAGTGCATTAAAGAAATAAATATAAATCAAACTTGCTGTAGCTATAGCAAAAAAAACCCCCTGCTGTCAGCCTTTCTAGAAACTAGTTGAGGTACCTCAAGCATTTATACAGACTTATAAAAAATTCATAGCTGGAACATTCAAACTTTGCCCACCCAGGATAACTGCTCTAGCTGAAAAGGGCTTATTGAAAGGGACAGATGCCATAAAAAATAGATGGTTACATGTTCTAAAGGAGAAAAGAAAATTTTGAAGGATAAACTGACTGTCCAACACTGCACTAGCTCAGGGTATAATTCCTGGGATGTCAGCCCTGCCCCAGTGCAGCAGATAGTCGGAGCCAGAAGGAAAACCAGCTCTTTAGGAGGGCCTGGCACAGGGTGCCCAGAGAGGCTGTGGCTGCCCCAGCCCTGGAAGTGTCCAAGGCCAGGCTGGATGGGGTTTGGAGTACCCTGGTCTGGTGGAAGGTGTCCCTGCCCATGGCAGGGGCTTGGAACAGGGGGATCTTTAAGGTCCCTTCCAACCTCAGTCATTCTGGGATTCTCTGAAGGGGCATAGGAAGCACATGGGGTTTCCCTTGCTCTGCTGAAACCCCAAGTGCAGTTTGCTGATCCTGAGGTGAGGCTGGCAGCAGAGGCAGCTGCAGGGACCTGCACAGCCCCAGAGCTGATGGGAGGATGCTCAGCTTGTCACTCACAGCTGGTTATTCCAGGCAGTCAGTCCTGGTCAGCAGCAAGCTCCTGATTAAGGCTCCACCACCTCGGCTCAGCTCAGCTGCCATCTGAAGAGAAAAAGCACCACAAGAAATGGTTATGCCTGGCTTATTCCACACCCCAGTGCAGCTTGGAACAAACACTCAGAGGGAACCTCACAGTCCAGAATTTCATTTACAGGCTCTCCAGGGAAATGCCATGCACCCATCTTTTAGTTTTTTTCCCCATTTCCATACAGCATTTTCTTCTGCACTCTGACAGAAGGCAGGAGGAGAAGAGCCTCTCTCCAGAGCTCAGTATAAAACAGCTAAGGATTAGATCACTAAATAAAAGAAAGATCTAGAATAAAGGGTATGAGTCCTTTCCCCTCCTTCCTTTTTTCCCCCACAAAGCCCTATCTATCCCCAGTCTCTTAAAAATACTGAGATTCTACAAAGAACCAATCACCAGTTCCACACTTGGGATATGTCAACTAAGGACTTCTTTTCCTAATTTTCAGATTCAATAAAAAAATTGTAGGGAAAGGATTTGGGGACCTAAGGGAAAGTGCTTATTTTCAACCCCCTTTGGTCCTCCATTGGCTCAAAGTTGTTTGTGTTCATTCTTTTGTAAAAGTACATTCATTACATAATCAGAAACACTAAAATCTCCCAGTTATACAAATTCTCACTCTGTTACTATGGCAAACCACTCCAAAAATACAGAGCAGCAGCACAACGAAGTGCTTGGAACAACAGCTCTCAACTGCCAGTTTCTGCCTGTCAGAACTTAAAAGCATCTGTAGCTGTTGAACTGTTCATACACAAGCAAGAATCCTGTCCTGCTCCCTGAGCAAATTGGCACCTCAAAAATAGAGATGGAGGAAAGGAAAAGTTACTGCCATCACACAATGCTAGGAAACAAAAAATCCCAGAACATCCTCCCCCACAAAACCCTCAAAATAAACCCCAGAAAGCAGTTCTTACAGAATTCAACAATGCTGAAATCTGAAGCTTCAGTGAAAAACTCTAGTTTAAAGCAAAACAGGTTTCACACCACCAGTTGATGCTACAGGGCAGGTCAAAGATCCCTGAGATCAGAAGTATCTCACCTCCTGCCTCTGAAACACTCCCTGTTGGGGCACTAGGAAAAGCTCTGCTGCAGCCTGAGTACAGCTCTGCTCCTGGGGGAGCAGTGACCTGTCCATCCCAAGAAAAGCTCAGCAAGGCAGCCACGAGCACCTGCAGCTCTACAGACCCCCTGACAACCCAGCATTCATCCCTGGCTCCTGGAACCAGCTCCTGGTTCCATGCACAGGAGATGCAGGGCCATGGGATGCATGGGCAGAACCACACCTCAGTCTAGGTGTGTTTTATTTCTGTATCCCTTTGGGACACCCTTCCTTCCTTACCAACAAGGCTCTGGCAAACCATCTGCATTTTTTGGATATACATGACTGGAGTAAATGCCACTGACAGCCATTAGCAGAGGAGGAACTGGGAGACAGCAGCAGCAAAACACTTCACACGTTCAGCCCACCACATGTTGGAACTGCAGAGAGACAGACAGGGGAGGGAGAGAGACACTTAGGCAATCCATCAATGTTGCTTTATTAAAATCTTTATTCACACAATGTTGCTTTATGTGGGATCTGACCCTGGGGGATAGGAGTAGAAAGTCATGATTGCATTCTGTTTGCTTATTAGCAACTCCATTTGTGCAGCAGCTCCCAGGGGCCTCCTCTGGCACATCCAAGAGGGGGGGGGTCTGCTTCCAGCATCCTGCTCCAGCTGCTGCACTAAATAAATTACCTTCTTAATAAATTAGTACTTTTGAGCTGAAGTTTGTTTGGCAAGACACACTCCAGTTCATCAGCTGCTGGAAGGAGAGCTGACTCGAGTGTCTCCTCCCCCTGATGGCTGACTTGGGAAGGAGGAGGAGGTAAATAGCAGATGGCTGATGAGGCTCTTTAATTAGTTCTTGATTTCTGTGCTTCCAGTGCTCTGATATCATTGATAGCCACGACACAACCAGTGTGTAACCTCTGGGGCCAGTGGGTGACACGTGCACAGTGAACAAGAATCAGAGGGTGTCTGGAAAACCTCCTCCCCAGAGCACCCGCCTTGCAAACAATGCTATTTTTGAGATTCAAGCAGACTCTGTTGGCACGTGGATGCTGCTCCTCATTTCCTTTGCAATGGTTACAATTTAAAATCTCCCAGGGTTCTGTGTTTGAGCAAAACAACCATCACTGCCAAAAAGGCAGAAATTGTCACAAGGCCAAAACCAGATCTTCCTGATTTTGGTTTAAGAGAGGAATTTATTTTTCTTTCCTGATGCAGAACACCAACCTCCAGTAGTGTTTACAGCAACAAGAAACATCAGTATCACAAATAAAAAACCATTCCCAAAACCCAACCATTTCTTGCTTCCTTCTACTGATAATGCTGGACTTCATGCCCTTTGTCCACAAGTAAACCAAAATAAACCAATACCCTGCTTTAAATCTTTGACATTTATACTGGGGAAAAACTCATCCCCAGGTTCCATCTGACAGTAAAAGCTTTAGCTTAGAGCAACATGTAAATCCTCAACATTAATTTAATTTCAAAGACTGAAAGGCCTTTTTTTGAGCCCATTATTAAATCAAATGTAAATATCAAGAGTGATCATATAGAAGTCAAAAATTAAATTTTGGTAGATCCCTCCCAAAATATTAAGAGCTCATGTTTAAGCTCAAAAGAAGAATATGCTTTTAGAAATGCTACAAGCCACCAATCATGTGCTTCACTATCTCCTCTTTGGGTAAATCATCTGAAATTTCCTGGGAAACAGCTTAAACCAGCTTGCTCCTGCCACAAAGGCACCACCCAAAGTGTGTTCTGTTATCAGCTGATAGAGGCAAGAGCTTCACAGTGTCCTCAGAGCTGGCTGTGTGTCACCATCCTGACTAAGAACTCCAGTAAATAACTCCAGATCCCATCCCATCATCTCATTGCTCTATGGCATCTATGGTTGTGGCCAAGTCCAGAAGAGAGCAAGAATAACAGAGAATTCAATCCCAGGTAAACACTCACATTCTACTTTCAAGATACTCTGCTCGTGCAGTGAGAAAAAGACTTCAGCAAAGTAACCAAAGCCTGCATTTTTCAGATAAACTCTCTCCCTGACACCTCCTGGACCAGGTGTGGCCAAGGTGCAAGAACAGAAAACAGCTCTTCACCTGCCTGCCACCCTGCAGTTAGAGAAGAGGAAGTTAGATTTTCCTGACAAGAAAATCAAGGAAAAGGGCTCAAACTGACATTTTGGTGCTCTTGCTCTCAAGTTCAGTAACCTGTAATCACATGGGGAAGGGAGCTCCTTCCTTACACTAAGGACCATGCTGGC